ATGCGGCTCGATGTGGAGCCCGATCTTTTCCTCGCTAGAGACGCCGCTGCATCGCCGAAGTCGCCGATGCATCGAGGGTGCGGCGCCGTCGTCCTCGCCCTCGTACTCGTCCTCGCACTCGCCCTCGTCCTCATCTGGGAGGCGTGTATTCTGCCGCTCCTGCTCGCGCTTCTCGCTCCAGCCGCCGCTCGCGCGCCCGCCCATCCTGCTCCTCCTCGTCCCCCCCCCCTCGCGCCTCTGTGCACCCATCGCTTGCCGCAAGCAGGTGACGTTGGAACTTGTTGCGCGATGCAGTCAGCCCGCGCAGTGAGGATGAGCGACTTTCCAGGGCTAACCTTGCCTCCTTCCCCCGCGGCCCATCCTTGGCCGCTTTCGTTGGCCGCGCCCCGCTCGAAAGGTGTCGACATGGCCTTCCAAGGCCCTTGCATCCTTGCCGCGCGTCAATATTAAACGGGTTGACTGTGTCCCGCCCCGAGCCACCCCTCCGGGTCAGTTTTCCTGGTCGCCGCGGTGATCGCGGCGGCCACAAATCTCAAGGCCTTCAAGATGGCGTCGGAGCAGATACATAGGGTCGGAGGATCGTGCCTCATCGCCGATGCATCCCCGATGCGGCTCGATGTTGAGCCCGATTTTCTGCACGCCGACATCGGCGATGCATCGGCGAATGAATCGGCGATGCGTCGGCGATGCGGCGCGACCTTACGACTCATTCACTCGGACCCTGTCTAGGAAGCCTCTAGCACCTCCGAGTCGGTTTTGGAGGTCAGGCTTTTGCCAAAGAGTGGCATGCCCCTTTCTAGTATCCCCCCTGCTCTGCGATGTAGACGTCAAGAGAGAGAGAGATGTCAATGTATTTCTGCCATGAGCGGTCATGTGTTTTGGAGGGGTTCGTTATCACGCAACTAGGATCCCCCAGATTCCGATCTGTCTCAGACGCCCTCCTATTTCAAGGATCGAGCGGTTTACGGTTCTCATTATTTTCCAAGGGGTGGGTGGAAGTCGTCGAGTCTATGTTGAACACCTTCCTACGTCCAAGGAAGCGCAAACATGGATAGGCGCATGGAGTGGCGCCTGGTCTGGCGTCCGTGCAGCATCGACACGCTCCATCGCCAAAGTCAGGCGGCCTTGGCGCCATGCTTCGGGGGGCACCTTCCCCGATCCGTGGATCTGGCGCCCACTCGCCAGAGCCACGGATTCGTAATCCATGTTCTCGTGTACCCGATGATGCATGCCTCTCCTCAGCTCTTCCGAACGATAGGCAATGCGCAGGGGCAGGGCGACGTAATGCAGGGCTCGCCTGTTGCCATTGCGAGGTGTCCCGGGCTGTCGCCGAGCTGTCTGGATCGATCGGCTTGCGCTCTGGGAGGAACGTGCACGATAGATGCGGAGTGGTGGTGGAGGTGAACCGCAGAAAGAGGAGGAGGAGGAAGAGGAGGAGGAGGAGTCCTCACATCACCGCAACGTGGCAAACTCGTGACTACCAAGAAGTTGGATACGCAGGACGGCCTGGGCGAGAATTACATACACACGTGGACAGATGTATTTCTGGCGCTCAGCCCTTAAATGGCCGTGTATGCCGGGCTTCCGCATGCTGACTGTCCCACATGTGAATCAATCCATGTGTGTTTCCAGTTTATTGGTGGTGTGCTCGCTCGTTCGAGCCGAGGATCCTCACATTGGCTCGAGCAGAATACAGAAGTCTAACGATTACGTCGTGAGGCTCAGTCGTGATGCAGTTAATTATATTGCTTTGTTTCCACTGCGCGGGATGTCCGTATGAGCGGGGGTGATGTTGCGTCGCAGATGTCAGCGTGCACGTGTGGCCGAATCGAACACTGCGACTTGTTTGGTAATGTTTGTGCACGTCAGTCAACGCGTGTCTTGGGGTCATCGTTGCCACATCTATGCCAGAAGCTGGTTCCAACCAGTACTGAGAGGCCTTACGGCCAGTGCCGCCGACCCTGAAGGGGTACGACGACGACGACGACGACGCTGACGCTCTGGAGCCCTTCTTGGGCTCTCTTGGGGACCTACTGGGCTCTGTTGTCTGTTGGGGGGCCTCTGGGGGGACTTCTACTTGGAGCCGCCTCGGAGCAGACCTGAGGCCTCGTGGAGGCATGCAGGAAAACACGCAGCACCCCGCAGCAGCAGATCAGAGTGACGAGGTTGACCCGGGGGGGGTCCGGGAAGGGGGGGGGGATGGTGGCACCCTTGTCTGCGGGGGGGGGGAGGGAGGGATCCTGAGTCCCCCCTGTCCACAAGGGGACCGTCCTCCTTGTCCGCACGTGGGACCCCTTCGGGGGGGAGGTCACGACCTCTGGGACCCCATCCCTGGGCCACTCCCCCTGGGACACCCTTTGTTACCCCCCCCCGTTACCCCCCTCCCCCCGCCAGGGACTTAATCAAAGGGGAGTGACTTTCCTTTCGGACCACTTACGACGCTGCTTGATCTCCGAGTGGGTGGATCGCTTAAGGAGGAGGGCCCAGGGAAAGGGGGGAGCGGTGACGGCGACGACGGCTCAGCCGGAACAACTTCTCACACAGCCCGACAGGGTCGGCGGATGTTCGTCAGCAGTTCCTTGCCAGGCTAGCCACGCACGTGTATTCTCTGCGTGTTCCATCCTTCACATCATTACGCATGGGGTGGCAGTGTTCTTTCCAGGCCCTTTTCGTCATCAAGACGCTCGCGTACAGAATACCTCCATTTTGCAACGCTATGCAGGCCCGCCCGCATTCAATGGTACGCGCCGCATGTGCAGCATAGCGCATATCGTAGGGGATTGACATGTTTGTTGCCACGGCTCGTGTTGATCTGCATGCTCCAGAAAGTTCAGATTTAGTGTGCAGATACGGCATGAGATGTGTTTCTGCTACCCTTGATACATACATCGAAGATGCCTACGGTGAACATCCGCCACCCCACCCTTTTGAAGTGCCTCGGTGGCCAAATGTTGGGCCACAGTCTTCCAAGCTATTGGGAAAACTGTTCCCCGAGCCGTTGTGGACACCCTTCTTGGAGCACTGACGTGAGAAAGAGAGGATGAGAAGGAGAAGGAGGAGCAGGAGAAGGAGTATGACGTAGGAGGAGGATGAGGATGCACAGGAGGCCTCTTGGGGCGCCTCCTCGGGGCACTCGGAGGGCTTCTGGTGGCATTTGGGGGTCGTCTGAGGGCCTTTTGGGAGCCTCCTGGAAATGACCGATTGGTCTTCGGAGGCCGTCTTAGGGCCGTCGTGCGTCCCTTTTGGGACGCTTTCGGGCCGTCGTGGAGGTCTTCGGAGCCGTCACGGGACTGTCCTGGGGACCTCTTGGGCCGTCTTGAGGCCTTCTTGGCCGAGCATCTTGGGCCGTCTTTGATATTTTGGATGCCTCGGGGGCCGTCTCAGGCCGTCGGAAGCGCAAAGGCGTTGTCGGAAGCCCGAAATGGGAGGAACAGTTCAGTCATTGTGGGACTAATCGGAGCATGCGTTATGCATGTCTTTCCAAGGGCCTCCTGGAGGTTCTCTTGAAGCAACTTGGAGCGTATCAGGGGCCGTCTTGAGGTAACATTAGGCCGTCTTATTTGGCTCTCTTCGGCCCACCTTGAACGTCTTGGAGGTGTCTTGGGACCGTCTTAGCCGTCCTGGCCACCTTGGATGCATATTTGCCATGTTGTGAGGCTGTTTCGGGCGAACCGCTCGTGTTGGGCCCATTTGTAGCTCCATGAATATTGAACTGGTCTACTGATTCCCCACTTGTTGCCTCTGCATTTCGTCCAGCTATGCGCCTGGCTTCCTCTGCTATCCGCCTTGCGCATGGCTTCTCGTCCAGCTAATTCTGAGCATGCGGTCCTTTGCGTTCCGTGCTATCTGCATGGCTTGGCTTCGTCGAGACTATCCGCATGGGTTTCTCTGCTATTCGCACGGCTCCGTCTGCTAGAGAAGAGTGGATGTGAGTGTGTTTGAGCAGTTTTGGAGTAGAGTAGAGCAGGATAATACCATGGTAGGAATCGAGTAGACCAGTCAGTAGGGTAGGGTAGTGTAGAGGCGAGCAGGGTAGAGTACATCAGATCAGGGTATAGTAGAGCAGGGTAAATGGTAGAGCAGAGTTGGGTGCAGCAGAACAGAACAACAGCACGGGCCCGACAGACACACACACACACAAACACACACACACACACAAACACACACACACACACAGACACACACACATACGCGCGCACGCGCACGCGCACGCGCACGCGCACGCGCACGCGCACGCGCACGCGCACGCGCACGCGCACGCGCACGCGCACGCACACGCACACGCACACGCACACGCACACGCACACGCACACGCACACGCACACGCACATGCACACGCACACGCACACACACACATTGCCGCAAGCGCGATGACGGATATGGTTCTTCCCTGTGGACCAGGCCTCTCCCCACTCCGATTTCGAGCTTTAGGGGATAGCGTCGCGGAGAACCGCAAAGAGGAGGGCGTGAGGTGACGCTGGCGGGCGGAGTTTCACATGCCAGTCGCGGGTCGCATCAACAACGTGGCTCCAGTTGGGCTTGCGGCGCCGGCGTCAGCACCCGAGTCAGTGTTTCTACATCTTCCTTCCCACCATCTCCTTGGAAAGAGAGTGAGATGTGTTATATACTGAGGGAGAGACAGAGAGAGAAAGGAATAGAGAAAACACCTAAAAAACGACAGAGAGAGAGAGAGAGACAGAGACAAGAAGAGAAAGATAGAGGCAGAGACAGAGACAACTACCGATGAAAAGGGAGAGAGAGAGAGAGAGAGAGAGAGAGAGAGCTGGCGAGAGCAGAAAGAGAGCGCGAGAAAGAGAGAGAGAGAGAGAGAGCGAGAGAGAAACAAGAGGAGAGGGAATAGCGAGGAGACCGGAGAGGAAGGGCAGGGGAGGAGGAGGAGAAGGAGGAGGAGGAGGAGGTCAAGGATCAGGAGGAGGAGGAGGAGGAGGAGGAGGAAGGGACAGGCATGACGATTGCCCTCCCAGATCCCCCCTGCAGAGGCGCACCTCCCCTGCGTGCAGGACGCCGCGGCGTTCACGGGCGAGCCGTCGGTGGGGGCCGGGTAGATCTGGGTACAGTCGGATCAGTGCCTCCTCCCTTCCCCACCCCCCTCCTCTTCGATCCTCCTCCCTTCCCTCTCCCCCCTCTTGCTCCTCCTCCTCCTCCTCCTCCTCCTCCACCTCCTGCTCCTCCTCCTCCCCCGCTCCCTCCTCCTCCTCCTGCTCCTCCTTCTACGCCTCCTCCTCCTCCTCCTCCTCCTCCTCCTCCTCCCATCCCCTCCTCCCCCGCTCCCTCCTTCCCGCCCCTTACCGCCACCCTGCCCTCCCCGGGTAAGACTGAGGTCGGTTCGGAGAGGGTGTCCTAATGTTCTTCGTGTTTGGTTGGATGTTTTTGTGCATCCTAGGGAGGACATCGTCGAGAGTTCTTCAGTTTGTGCCGGCGGAGGGTCTCATGCTCTTGAAGGATGTTATTGTGTATTAGGTCTTGTTGTAGTTGTAGCCCTGGAACCCACCGTTCCAAAGCAACGTGCAGTCAATCGAAGAATAACAACTTGTATAGACGTAATTTTTCGCAGCTCCGCGCGAATGTCTTGGATTGGCGCTGGGTTCCCCTGGCGGCGCCTCTGGCGCCGCCCTTGACGTGCTACGCGCACCAGGGAGGGTCGCCTAGCGGCTTAGCGCCGATCCAAGGAAACCGCGCTGAGCTCCGACAGCTTATGGCTATGTACCGTTGTTTCTTGCGACGCAGCGTGCGGTCAATCGAGAAGTGGCGAAGCGTTCTTGCTTGCCTGTAGGCCCATCAAAGAATGTTCTAGACACCTTTTGCGGTTTGCACGACATGTTCTCGGAGCATGTTTGGCCGAGACTGTCCTGCTTATCAGCACATCGGAGGCATGTTCTAAGAACATCTTTGATGTTCTTAGAGCTTCCTGCTGCTCTAAGAACATGTCGTGGTGAGCCTACAGGAATGCGCCGGGACGGTCGGTCTCTGGGGAGTGACCCAAAGGGGGGGTGAAAAAAAAGAGCCCTAAAGGGGCCCTTTAGGGCACCTTTTGGAGCCAGAAGGTGCCCAAGAAGGGGCCCTAAATGGCCCCTGTCGGGCCTTTCTCTTCGCCCCCCATTTGGGTCACCCACCATTGCGAGGAGGAGATGGAGGAGGAGGAGGAGGAGGAGGAGGAGGAGGACGAGGAGGAGGACGAGGTGGAGGTGGAGGTGGAGATGGAGATGGAGGTGGAGGAGGAGAGAGGAGGAGGAGGAGGGAGAGGAGGAGGAGGAGGAGGAGGAGGAGGACGAGGAGGAGGAGGAGGGAGGAGGAGGAGGAGGAGGAGAGGAGGAGGAGGAGGAGGAGGAGGAGGGGGAGGGGTATTACCACACTCGGGATGGGGCTCCGGTCTTCGGGCCGTGGCCTGGACCTGGGACACGCCTGGCTTGCTCGTGGCCGAGGCTCGCCGTTTCCGGAGAAGGCTCTCGCTCCTCGTGCGGCGCCCCTCGTGATAGCACGATGGCCGTACGGTCGGAGGAGAAGGGCGGCGGAGAGGAGGACGAGAGGAGGAGGAGGAGGTTGAGGAGGAGGAGGAGGAGGAGCAGGAGGAGGAGAGGAGGAGGAGGAGGAGGAGGAGCAGGAGGAGCAGGAGGAGAGGAGGAGGGGAGGAGGCGAGGAGGAGGGAGGAGGAGGAGGAGGAAGAGGAGGAGGGAGGAGGAGGAGGGGGGGGAGGAGCGAGGAGGCATAGGAGGAGGAGGAGGAGGAGGAGGAGGAGGAGGAGGAGGAGGAGGAGGAGAGGCGGAGGAGGAGCAGGAGGAGGAGGAGGAGTAGGAGGAGGAGGTGGAGTTGCATACCTTGCATACCTGGTTTTCCCTCGGCAGCCTGTCCGCTTTTCCGACGCCCGGTGAGAGGCGCGGGCCCCCTAGGGATCGGTGGCCCCCATCGCTGGACCCCTCGCTGCGGTCGCCCTGGCTCGCGCGCGGTGGGCATACGGTCGGGAACTTTTGGGTGGTGTGTCGCTCCGCTGGTTTTGGCCGAGTCCGTGCTGGGAGCGGCCCTGCCCAGGGAATGACGTCCGCGCGGCGGCCCGCGGCCGGGGGGCGGGCGCCCGGTGTCGCGTCCTTCGCTCGGTGCGCACCCCTCCCCTCGGGAGCGAAAGAAAGACGCACACGTGCATGAATCCACGTTGGTTTCGAGAGTGCGCATTGCGCGAACGTTCGTATCGCGCGGCTGTCCTCGCGGATTAGGCGGCTGTGTTCATGTGCGTGGTTGGGCGCGTACGTCCTATTTGGGCTCCGAATCCCCCCCTTCCCTTCCCCCCTTCCGACATGGCGGACAGCGCGACCAGTGGGGCTCAGATGAGGACAAGGTGCCCATACCGCTGCCTTTCCCTCGTTGTCGCCTGCTTGGGCATCATTGGAGGCCATCGTCGCCACGCTGGATTCGCCTCGAAATCCTGGTCCGAACGCGACCTGGGAGAGTTCTGGGGAGAAGCAGTATCGGTACATGTTGGTTCCTCCTGATTTTACAGCAGTTGTTGCAGGCGTGGCTGCACCATCCCGCAAGCAGCGGCTCATGGGAAAGATTGGAGGCGGAGGAGGAGGAGGAGGAGGAGGAGGAGGAGGAGGAGGAGGAGGAGGGGCTTTTGAAGTTCACCGAGGTATGCGAGGGCTCCGGCCCACCCGCGCCGCTCTTTCGGGGCCCGTCCGCCGGCCAGCTGGCAGACTGGCGCATCCAGGAGGGTTTCTCCGAAGGGCTTAGACGACCCATCCTCCTCCTCCTCCTCCTCCTCCTCCTCCTCCTCCTCCTCCTCCTCCTCCTCCTCGGGTCGCCTACGGCCCCGGGGGAAGTCGTGCAGCGCGTCCTGTGCCCTCCCTCATCCTCCCTTGGACGGAGAGGCCGTGTACGGCGACGAGCCGTACCGCCTCGTGAGGGAGGCGCGTCGCCCGCCCGCCTCGCGGCCACCGCCGCCGCTCCCCCTCGCCGCCGCCGCCTCCAGCGAGCAGTCGAATGGGATGATCACGTTGACGGCGGCAGCCACGACCACGGCGACCACGGCGACGTGACGACGGCGGTGGCCACGACCACGGCGACGGCGGCTGCGGCGACTGCGGCGACCACGGCGACGGCGGCGGCGACGGCGGCGGCCACGACCACGGCGGTTACGGCGATTACGGCGACGGCGGCGACCATGGTGACGTGACGGCGGCGGCGACGACGGCGGCGACGACGGCGGCGACCAGGGCGACCACGGCGACGGCGGCAACCAGGGCGACCACGGCGACGGCGGCGGCCACGACCACGGCGACGGCGGTGACCACGGCGGCGGCGACGGCGGCGAGCAGGAGTGACGTCGACGGGGCAGGCAGGACGTTTGAGGTCCGCCCTCCTTGTGGACAGTTAATTCCCTTTGAGCGGGCATGGTTCGTCATGCAGCGGCACCTGATGCGATAACCCAAACCATGGCAGTGTAGAGCAGCATCTGGTTATGCGAAGGGAACCCTCGTTGTTTTCTTACGTTCTGGCGCAAAAAGCGCTGGACCTGTCCTAGAGCAATGAATGAATTGGGTTTTGATGGAAACGGGCCCTAGGCCCTGGGGTTTTCCCGAGGACCAGTTCTCCACCTTGTGTGTTTTTCGAAGAAGGTTTTGTTGCTCGCGGCCCCGTGGCCAGTGAAGGGCCCCAGGGACCTGAAAGCGGCGAACATGACCTGTCGCCTCCAGGCCGCGCTTCATTCATGCTGAAGGCAGGTGGCCCTGCTTCCAGCGCCTCTGCAGGTTCCATTGCGATTTCATCGATCCGATTCGATACCGCCTCTCGCCGCCCCGATCCCATTCAATGCCGACTTTCCGACGGTCCGATGCGGCCCGATGTTTGCATGGTGTTGTTGTGTATCTTGGCGTCTTGGCGGAGCCGATCCGATTCTATTTCGATTCACTGCGCAGCCCAAGCCCACGCACATTCCGATTTGATCCGATTCCCCGATTCGGTGCAGATTGATTGATCCTGCTCTGTCTTGCGCGGAGAGGAGCGAGGAGAGACGGCCCTCGACCGAGGCGCCTGCTGCCGAATCCGCCTGGCTTTGGAGCTAGGCAGCAGGCGCGCGGGGTGAGACACCGGCCTGCCAACGGGGCCTCACGAGATCTTCTTGCCCCCCGATCGGCCCCTTGGGGTACCTCACGGAGCGAGGGAAGTGCCCCTAGGGTCTCGCGACGCGGGCCCCAGGGACCCACGCGCTCCCAGCCAGAACAGCTGGCCGCCCTGATTTCTCAGGACGACTGGGGGACGGAATGTGGCGGACATCCCTTCACCCCCTGCCCTCCCCCTCCTTCCTCTCCTCCCCCACCCTTTTTTTTTTTTTTTTCTTCCTCGCGGAAAGAGGATCAGGGAGCAATCGGAGGAAGTGTAGGAGGAGGAGGAGGAGGAGGAAGAGGAGGAGGAGGAGGAGGAAGAGGAGGAATAGGAGGGGGGAATAATGGGAAGAATGGGGACGATGGAGAAAGGAGGAGGTGGAGAAGGAGAAGGGAGAGGAGGAGGGGGCAGGGGGGAATAGGAGGAGGGGGCAGGAGGAGGAACGGAAGATTTCTTGAGGAGCGGGGATGGAGGACGGAGGGTGGGAGGAGGGATGGAAGAGGGAGGAAGAGAAGGAGGACGAGGGGGAGGAGGAGGAGCAGGAGGCGGGGAGGAGGGAGGAGGAGGAGGAGGAGGAGAAGGAGGCGGATGAGCAGGAGGAGTAGGAGGAGGAGGAGGAGGAGCAGGAGGAGGGGAAGATGGAGGTGGACCAGTTTAAATTCAAGATTAATCAACGATGTTGCAATAAGTATTCCCTCCAAGTTCCCTCTTCAAACTATTGATTTTAATTGTGTGGAGAGTCCAGTTGGAATACCACAGTCTTTCAAAGTTGCAACCATGCCAAAGCACCAGTCATGGTATTCCAACTCCGCGAGTCAACATTACTGTCGCGACCTGACGATCCTAAACCACGTCAGACTAGCATTCCTGGGATGCCAACACCGCGAATCAAAGTGATTGTCGCGACCTGACAACCCTGAGTCGTGCTAAAGCAACATCTCTGGGACGCCAGCCATACTCATCCTTGAAACGGCTGTAAACTGTCAAGACGGATGTGCGCGGCGCTAATGCGAAACCCATTCGCCTTCCATCCGTAACTCTCTTGCCGATTTTCAAGACACATGTGCATGGCCTTGATGCGAGAGCCACGTTTGGGGAAAAACACCCGTTCTCCAACCATGTTTGCAAATGTTTAAGTCGAACGTGCGCGGCGCACAGGCGAGAGAGACATGTTGAAAACGGCCCGCCCCCCACCCATGAAGCCCCTTACAACTTATCACAACGACTCTGCGCGACGCTAGGGCCAAGGCAACATTTTGAAACCGGCCGGCCCTCCATCCGAGAAGCTGCTCCAAGCTTCGAGCTTCAGGACTCCAGATGGCGAGGAAGTCTCGGGCGAAACGCCCGGCCCGCCCGGCCGGCCCGCATCGGGGCGCGGCAGGGAGGAGCTGCGTGTGTCTCGGAGGAGGAGGGGCGGAGAGCCGCGAGGGCCTCGTCTTGGAGGCACGCGGCCGTGCCCCGGATGCCCCGGCCGCCGCCGCGCCAGGCGGCAGACGGCGCCCTGCAAGCCCTGACTGGCCCGCCCCTTCGGGGGGGGGGGGGGCAGGGCAGCGGGTCCAGAGGAGAAGGGGGCGGGAGGGCTGAGGAGCGGGGTCCCCCTCCGCCCCCCCTCCCCCTCCTCCTCCCCCCCCCCCGCCTGCTCCGCGTCCTCCTCCCCCTCCTGCCCCCTGCCCCTCTTCGTCGCGCCCTGTGCCTCCCCGGGAGGAGGCGGAGAACGAAGAGGGGGAGGGGATGGTGAGAGGGGGGGGCAGGGGGAGGAGGATGGGGTTTGAAGGGGGTTCAGGAGGAGGAAGGGCGAGGTCGAGGAGGGAGCGGGAAGGAGGGAGTAGGACGAGGAGGGAGAGGTAATTAAAGGTGGGGAGGGGCAGGAGGGTGAGAGGGAAGGGAGAGGATATGAAAAGAGAACTGGGAATGTAAAGAGGGGTGAGATGACGAACAGGGAGGGAGGGGGACGAGGGAGGAGGGAAGGGATGGGCGATGGGTGAAGGAGGGAGGCCTGTGCGCCATGGCGGCCTTGCTTGGCGCAGCATGTGTGATATCTCCATCTTCTGGCCCTGGTTCCAGGGCGCTGCTGCTGTCTCCAGGAGGAGGACAGAAAGATAGAAATGATGGAGGAATAGGTCGGCAGCGGACGATGGCATTGTCGCGAAGACGTGGCCAGTACGCCTCTCTCGCGGGCGCTGGGCCCTCAAGGGGAAGTCTCCGACTGCACTCTGCCGCCAAGAGGAGACAACATGCTACGAGTAGCCTCACCGCCTCACCCCCAGGGGGAGAGAGGCAGGGAAGGAAGGGGGAGAAGGACGGAATTGGGAGGGGAGAGGGGGAGCGGTGGCAGGGGGGAGGGGGCTCGGAGGCAGGCAGAACGACACAGGCACCACAATCAGCCCTCCTGGCGACTGGGCTCCCGGCACGAGGACTCCAGACGAGGAGTTTCCCTGCTCCTTGACCGTGGCGGTGTTGGTGTCGTCTTGTCCTGCTCCGAGGATGGGGGCGAGGAGAAGGATCAGGAGGAGCAGATGCGTCAGTGTGTAGAGAAGCGCGATTCCCGTTATTCCCGCTGCGGTGTTTCAAGGCAGGCTGAGGTTGCGCCACGCAATGTCCGCGAAGTCGCTTGCGGAGCCTGCGGCTGTTCGTTAGACTCCTAGCACGCATGAGGTACAGCTGCGCACTGGGCATCATACCTCCGCTGAATGGGCACTTGATCGACCGCTGTAACTGTTCTGACAAGAGTGTTCACGGTTCGTTCGATTCGGTTATATCGCAGTCGGTTGGTTGCGTTGGGTCGATTCGGTTCGGGCGATTATTGTGTTGTTGTCGCCCCGTTGTGCTTTTCTAGGTCGCTTCTAGGTTGCGTTCGGCCTGTCGATTTCGGCCGGTTTCCGTTTCGCTTTTTGTTCGGTCGGTTTTCGGTGTTCGGTTTTGTTGTTGCCGTGCACGGCCTTGGTTGAGTTGCCCGCTGTTGACGAGGTGTTGCGGAATTTGGATAATGCAATGTTCTGGATCTACCGTGGCCCAGCGTTAGTTGTTCCATTCAGATGTGAAGGTGGGTGGTGTTGCCCAGGGACGCTGGGTATGTCTTGCTTGGTGTTTATGTGAGCTCTCATGGTCACGTCGTCTAACAAGTGATCAGCCAAAGGTGGTCGAAGCGTAGTTTTGACACGCCAGAAATCGCCTCACTCTGCGCTGTTCGGCACGCATGCCAAAGGCTGGACATCACGAGGCACCGCGCCACTTCCAAAGCCTGATGCTACAATCTGCGAGTCCGTCGACGCACTGGTTTCGGCTGAGCCTGTAGTGGTTCTTCTGAGGCTCGTGTCAAGTTTTGGAGGAGGCGAGCTAGCGAAGCTGCAGTTAATGCGGATGCGGACGCGTGTCATGGTTGGCACTTCGTCCAGCAGGTCACGTGGAGCTGCGCAGGGAGCCTGCACCGCTGAGAGCTTCAGGGATCGCAAGGAGCGACCTTTATTGCGGAGAAGGCGTTTCGTATTATGTATTTTCCGCGATTTGCGAAGTAAGAACGTTTGGCCAGTGGTTGTAAGGTCTGTCGGTTCGGATGTCTTATCATGTTCGATCGACGGTCACCGGAGTGTCTTATGTTCGTCCGTGCTAAGCACTCGCAACATTACGTAGCAACCACCGCGAGCGATTGACTTGTGCAGTACGATCGTGGTATGCCTAGTAAGCACGTTGAGTAATCCACTGCTCGTCGGACATTGCCTTTGTCTAGCCAACCCGCCCAGAAATCTCCAGCGAAAGTAGTTTACTTGTTGTGTATCTTGAGCACGGCATTTTGACTTCTCAGTGTATGCGCGACCCCATGTTGGGCTCGTCGTGTTATGATGATCCCAGTGGCCCACGATTGTCACCAAATGGCAAGATGTCGCCCCCAGTGGTTTTCATCGATCACAGCTGGCTCGGCTGCTACATCCTTTCTGAACCATCTCAGGATCAAACGCCACAGTTGATTCGAACATTGTTCTGCACAAATAGTCCATTTTAGCGTGACTAGGAGGCCCAGTTGTTTCTTCCTGACTAGTAATTATTTGGACCCTTGTGGGCTCCTGTGTAACCGCATGATCCCTGTCGACCCAGGGAGCAAATACCGCATATAGCAAGCAAGAGTAGGCATCGCGAGCTGTCTGGTGTATTGCCCCCTGCTTCTCATCCTGCTGTACCGTTCCCCTCCCAATCCATTTCTTCGCTCTCTGCGTCCGGAGAACGATGTGTGGATCTTAGGGTTGAGGTACGATTATCATCCGTCAGACAAGAGTAACACTTGTGGTTTCTCTGCTTAGTGTTGAGACGGCATGTCGCCACTCTTGGAAGTGAAACCAGCAACTTCCTCCCGTTTCCCCTTGCAAGGTGTTCTTCCTGCCCATCCGTCGCCTCTTTGCTCGGGTTGCAGAGGTTCGGAGCATTATCACGAGCAGTACAGCAAGATGTCGCAGCGCATCGTCGGATTCGGGAGCCCGCCAGGGGATGCCACCTGTCTCTGTCGATCGTATTCCTCTTCCTCCGTGTTTTCCCCCCAGACTCCCCTCCCCCCTACGGTAATTAGGTTCATGCGACGTTGGCGCGCCGGCGACGCGGGCGAAGGCGTCCAATGTTGAATTCTAGCATGCGGAAGTCAAAGGGACACAGCAACGCGTCTGGACCCGACGGAATTCAACTTTGAACGGTGGGGGCCGCGATCGCTTCAAGGTTGATTGGTCGACGCGGTGGCAAAAGCGTTTGCTCGCGCGCCGACGCTGCAAGAACCTATACCCTCTCCCCATTCACCTCTCGGCGGCGAGCGAGGGGGGGACGTAAGAAGGAGACGGGCTTCTCAGAATGCGGCGGGACTTCTAAGAAGCCCTCGCGGCTTCTGTGAAGATTTTGTATCTTCGGGGGAGGCTTAGCAAACTTTTCTGATGGCCAGAGGACTTCCGCGCATTCTCAGAAGGACTTCTCCTTCTCGCTTCCCCCCCTCGCTCGCCGCTTAACCTCTTCCTTCTTCCCGTCCCTCCCCACTCCAGTTCCCCCCGCCTCCCCTTCACCCGCTCCTCTCTCCTCCGCCCCCCCTGCAGCACGGAGCCGGCCCAGAGAGGCAGCGTCGCAGAAGCGAGGCCAAAGGTCTCACAGGAGCGAGCGCAGGCGGCCAGCGGCGTAACACACGTGGTGGGCGGGCCTCTTGCCCCGTTGGGAACTCGCGTTGGGTCTCCATGTTTGTTTGCCTGCGCTCTTCCAGGTTCATTGCTCACCATGGAGGCGTGATTGTGAGGAATCGTGTTGCAGGGCAGTCGAGAGCTGCGGTGTTTCTTGTCCACCGGCGTGCTGTTGTGGCCATCGTCGCGCCTCCAGAGGCAGCGGAGACATTTTTGGGCTCTACGCGTGCAGATGCAATCAGGGGCGCTTGCTGGCGGCCATTCTTGATGATCAGTATCGTCTGACCGATCCCTGTCCCCAGTCCCACCCCCATCCCGATCTCCACCATCCCACCACCCCAGTTGGGGACAGGCCCCTCGAAGCCCGACGGCAACCGCCTACATCCCCATCTCGGGGGTAAATCGGCCAGTGGGGCCCAGGTCACGCCAATGGGGATAGGGATAGGGACATGTTAAACGATGCTCAGATGAGTTGCTGCCCAGCTCCAGGCTGGATCGTGAGTGTAACACTGCTGCTTTGAGGCGGGCTGGACACTGCCAGCACGCGTGAGTACATGCACTGGTCGTTGCTGCTCCCTTCGCTAGCGGCGCCTCGTTATGGTAGGACGCGCGCAGGACCAGAGCGCGCTCGCGTGCACCGAGCAGCTGCTCATCCTGCGCAGGGCTCATTCCGATTCGATCGATCCGATCCGATACAGGTTGATTCCGACATTCCGAGGACCCAGTGCGGCCCGATTTTCGCGTGGTGCTGCTGTGCACCCTGCGCTGACGATCCGATTCAATGCCGGCGTCGTGCCGATGCAGCCCGGTTCGGTGCTGACGGACCCTGCCTTCGCGGGCGTCCTCTTTTGTCACTTCATGCCCTCTGACGTACACCATCGGCCTTCACAGCAGGAGGAGGCCATTTGGGCCCAGGAGTTTGCTAGGCGTGAGGGTGCACTAACGCCCAGAGCTGGATCCTTAGACCAGCAGCAAACAGCGGCTCTCTCACACGTAGTTGCGAAAAAGCTATCGGTGCCTCGGTGCCCTCTCTCTTGTAAGGGGGGCGGTGAGAGCCTCACATGTGGGCAGTGGAGGAACTACCTGCCCGACGCTGACACGGTGCCCCGCCCCAGTTCACGGGCAGGGTGCGGCCGATGCTGGGGGTGAGTGGCAGTGGGGTCAATCGCAGTCGAAGTGACCGCTGGTCCTGGCCAGCAATACCGGCAACATCACGCGATCTGCATGCCGGACATGCCGCGAGCAAGAGCTGCGCGCAGGGCGTGAGTCACCCCGAAGACTCTCGGCGGTCCACGTGCTCCCCCCCGGGTGGGGATACGCGAGCTGTCGTCGGATGGGAAGTGGGAGATCAGTAATGAAGCAGGGGGGAGGACCGGTCGAAGCGAAGCTCTGGTCAGCCAGGCAGTTGCCAGCAATGGCCAGTTTGGAGAGCTCCTCGGAGGCCTTTGGGAGCCATCCTCGAGCTCTCCTGGGGGAGCGTGAGAAGGGGCGGGCCTTCTCCGAAGGCTCGGAGGGGAGGGCCTCGGGCCTTCTGAGACATCCTCCGAGCTTTTCCTCGATTGTGCGAAAACTTCTCGGAAGGCCAGAGGGCGTCTGAGAAGCCCCGCCGCCGTCTGAGAAGGCCTGCTCCTTCGCACTTCTCCCGGCCCCGCCGCCGAGGCTTGGAAGCCGTGGGCCTGCCCGGGGGAAGCCGTGGGTGCTGCGGGGGGGGTGTGTTCGGAGCCGAGCTCTCGTCACCCTTGATCGGACATTCTGCCGCCGGGACGTAATCTATACTCGTACCGCGGTGCCCGATGGCGGAACAGTTTTGTCATACCGTTCTTCGTCCGCTAATGTATGTACCACTCTGTTCTTCGCACTTTGACTCTCCCACTCTGGCATGCTTTTCGGTTGGAAATATCTCCATGGGGCATTGGACATTCGGCGACAGGGCTCGTGTACTTGACCCGAGTTCTGGTGATCATGTGGGCCTCCATTTGCCCTCCACTTCCAGTGGGGAGGGGGTCGGGGAACACGGAAGCAAAAAACACACATGTGAAGCCCGCACCCTCCCCTCACCCTACCCGAAAATTCGAGTCCTGCGGGTTGGGATGGGGTGGTCTGCTCGTCGGCGAGGCGCCGGCGATGCGCTGCGTGGCGAGGGCGAGAACCAGAGAAACCGTCGACGACCACAGAAAAATCAGCCGAGCCCGTCTCGCTGGGCACTCCCGGGAAGCCTCTCGGAGGCCGCCGCGTGGCCCCACGCCGCGCCCGCGAGGGAGGCTCGAGGAGCCTGCCTGGGATAGGCATAGGCATAGGCATAGGGGGGGGGGATAGGCATAGGGGGGCAACGATGGGGGGGGGGGATAGGCATAGGCATAGAGGGCGATAGGCATAGGGGGGATAGGCATAGGCATAGAGGGGGGGGGATAGGAATAGGGGGGGGGATAGGCATAGGGGGGGTCAACAGGGGGATAGGCATAGGGGGGGATAGGCATATAACATATAGGCACAGGGGGCAACGATGGGGGGGGATAGGCATAGGGGGGGGGATGCATCGTCGCCCAATCGCCCATTGGTCGCCGCGAGGGGGCCGATGGCCCCAAGCTGCACAGGAAGGTGCGGATTCGCCATCGGGGGCCCATCGCCGATCTATATCGGCGATGCATCCCCGATGCCAGGTCCCCCCTTCTCGTTGCCCCTCAAGGTGGCGGAAGACCAGCGGAGGCAGCATGAGGGCGGCTCTGCGTGCAGCCAACCCGCATATTAAGGATGAGCAGCGTTCCAAGCTTACCCTTGCATCCTTCCCCTTCTCATTGAGGACAAAAGAGCCCCTAATCCGAATGACACGATGAAGACGTAGCCTCACTGAGGTCCCCATCTGCGCATTAGGGATTCTAATTCTGGGCGGATCGGTTCGATACACCTGCAGAAAAGACCCGCTATCCCGAATGTTCCTGGCCCTCCGAACTTAGGTCCCCTCTCGAAGGGTTAGGGGTCCTTTTTTGGTCAATCACCTTCGGCCCATCCTTGGCCGCTTTCGCTGGCCGCGCCCCGCTCGCAAAGTGTCGACGTGGCCTTCCAAGGCCCTCGCATCCTTGTCGTGCGTCCTGTATGTACGGATTGACTGTGGTGTGCGCCGGGTGTTCGGTAGAGTTTGATCGGCGCAAAGCGGGGCGTCATGCTTGTGACAATTTTCGGAGTGTTGCGCAACATAAGAGGCCGTAACACATGCATCCTCTCAGAATTGGCAACCTTCTTGGGTTCAGGGTTGCCCGAACGGCACATCTGGGCCGCCTCCATCTCGCCAGCATCGGCGGGGCACCAGATCGGAATCGGAACCTTCGGGATCGCGGATCGGACTCGGCCCCTGCAATCCGCAGGGGAAATCGTGTTTCGACCTTCGACCCTCGATCCCCGACCCTCGATCCTCGATCTTCGCCCTCGATCCTCGACCCCCTGATCCCTGATCCTCGATCCTCGATCCTCGATCCTCGATCCCCGATCCCCGACCCTCGATCGAATTCAAAGGAACGGATCGAGTATGACCGTGAGCAGTCCTGGCAGGTGTTGCCCGACGGTTCGGTGAACCTCACGAAGGACATGCGCCCCGGCGACGTGATCTCCAGCGGGATCGACTACATGGTCGGTGGAGTCGGCGCGAAGGGGACCTCCCCCTCTCCCCCAACACCTCTCCTCTACTCTTCTAGGCCTCCCAGAAGGGGTCCGAGTAGATGGGGTCGGAGGATCGCGCCGCATCGCCGATGCATCGACGATGCGGCTCAATGTGGAGCCCGTTTTTCTCCACGCCGACGTCGCCGCCGATGCCTCGCCGATGTCGACGATGCGTCGCCGATGCATCGGCGATGCGGCGAGATCCTCCGACCCCATCTACACGGACCGCATCTAGGAGGCCTCTATCTACTCTTATCTCTTGCTCCTGCTCCTCCTCTTTCTCCTCCTCCTCCTCCTCCTCCTTCTCCTCCCTCTGACACTATTTGTGGAGTTGTGGCTTCGCTGGCGCGCAAGGCTGTGAGAGGAAGTGCAAGAACATGGAGCGAGGACGGCACTGCGCGATCGCTCACCAACGCTGAGGACCTGGTGCACTGGAAGACTGCTCGTGCCGAGGTGAAGCGAGGTGTGCGTCGCCTCAAGCGGCTGCAGCAGACGGCGGCGGGCAGGAACAACAGCGTCCACTTCTTCGCGGTGCTTCTAGGCGCGGTCCATGCACAGCTGCAACACACAGATGTCGATGACGATTGCAGTTCAGGCCACGCCAATTCGTGGGCCAAGAGAGTCCTTGAAGATGATTGCACGAACGTGCGCTGCTCTGAGGAAGCTCAGTATTTGCTGGAAGCTTCGGGATCTCACAGTGTGGCGTGTTTGAAACACCCAGACTTGAGAGGAGAGGTTTGCACAATCGACGTAACCATCCCCAGAACCGTTGAATTCAAAAGAGCACTGCGCACGCACGTTCGACAGGCACACAGCATCGTAAATGCCACCTCATCTTATAACCCGACAAATGAGTCTACTGTGTGCCAAAGGGTATTCGCTTCGGAGGTCACGGCTCGCTGACACCTCGCCAGATCCAGTCAGCGTAGCTATTGGGTCGCTGTTCTCGCTAGTGCCTTTGTCCATGCCCGGGAACCCACATCGCTTGAAAGTCCATGCTGTGGAGTTTGTAATGGGATTTTGGCTCGGGATCCGCTCACATCTCGCTCGAAACCTGTCATGTCTGCCTGAAACTCGTGCTATCGCCACTGGGCAATAACCTACGCTAAGGGGGACGGTTTCGACATGCCGCAGTAGATGGCGGACGCGGACATCAGAAAAGTGGACCGGGGCCTCCAGAAGGGCATCAAGCGAGCCGCGGGCGCAGCCTCATCCGACGGCGATCCGAAGAAGACGCAGAAGGCCGAGGACGTCGTCGCGGATGCAGAGGTCGCGGCAGGACGGGGAGCCTCCAAGGCCCAGACGTTGCAGCAGCCCGTGGCCATTCTCAGCAAATCGTGCTCAGCATGGCGCGCGAACTTCGGACAGTCATCAGCGTCGTCTCCGTGACGGCTCTCGTACCAGTGTCTCTCGCGTGCATCGAGGCGGTATTCCAGGCAGACGAGGATTGCCACCAGGCGGCCATGAGACTCAGGGAGGAACGCAATGAGGACGACAGAGCCTTCACCTGCCCTTGTGGAAGAACTTCGTGTGGGCGCTGCTGGCGAGCACCGTGCAAGGCAGCAAGGCGCGCGAGATCCGCTTTCGCGATTGGAAGAACCGCATCCTGCAGCACGAGCTGAAGGACATGGCAACGGACATTCAGTACTTTCGTGTCCGCGCCCCGCAGGGCAAGGAGCAAATGAAGCAATCCAAGTTCATCGAGGGGAAGGTGCGGCTCCGTTGAGCCCCCTGGACAGCGCGGCTGGCGACGGAGCTCGACGATGTGTTGCGAATGGAGCTCGTGCGTCTGGGCGGAGAGATCACGATTGTGGCAGCGCCCGGCGGTGCATTGGAGAAGGACGACAGGGCGCCTTTGAATAAACTCGAGGGTGTCTCGGGGAAGTAGACGTGAGGAGGATGCGAAGCCTGGCGAGCAGCGGCCGTCCTGACTCAGTTAATCGCTCGGGGCCTCGTCAGTATGCAAGCGGCCCACGCCTGTGTTACCTTTCCCCTCCTCTCGGGGCGTTTTGGAGGATTCCCAGGGCCGCGCTCTCTCGCGAAAATTCCGCCACGCCCTCAAGTGCGTGGGAACGGGGGTTGGGGATATACTTTCGCCTAACTGAGCTGGGTAGGGGGTAGGAGGTAGGGGTCTACTGGAGTTGCGCATTGTCGTAGATGATGCCTTGGGGTCCCTTCGTGTCAGGGCGTATGCTCCTGGTGGCTCCCACCCGCTCTAGTCAGTCGAGTGGGCCGGCACCCCTGCGCCATGTATAGCCCTCTCGGGTTGCAGGGGGGGCGTGTGATTGTGATTTCACCACCACTGCCAGCTTTAAATCCATGCTGCAGTCACGCAGGTATGCCGCCCAGCTAGTCAACAGTCTGATAGCTCTGCTCGTTTCCGCCCAGGATCGTCTAAGTCTAAGTCTATTCCTCCCTCTTGCCGACGTGATGGGCCCCATCCGAGGGCCGCGCGATCCACAACAGAAAATCGCCCATGCCAATATTCAGTCTGGCGGGAACGTCTGCCTTCAATCCGCCACGAAGGAAATCTCAGCCGTTTTTCTATGGTTTCCTTACCGTCAGTCATCCGTCCTCCTGCTTCTCCTCCTCCTCCTCCTCCTCCTTCTCCTCCTCCTCCTCCTCCCTCCCCCTCCTCTCCCCCAACCCTCCTTGAAACCTTCTCCCCGCGCGGAGGCCAGACAACAAATGCAGCCAGGGGTCGTCGGTGAGTGGCCCCTCTCTGAGATATCCGGGGCGTCGCATTTTATTTCCCACTGGGCGGTTCTCGTCCAGCTTCGGTCACCCCGGGGGCCCTCGCGGACCGATCCTGCCCAAGAAGTGCCAACGCAAACTTGGGTCTCCGATTGTCTGATTTTTGTCCAACAGCGCCTCTTTGATGTCGGCCCTCGCGGCCGCTTTCGGGCCCCTGGGTTTTCACCACCTCCTGGGGAAGCTGCCGCGAACACCTCTTGGGCCGTGGATAGAACAACATCACATCGGCGGATGCCTGGAAAGAGGATGGCGAGGGCTCCGGCCGTGATTTGGTCACCGCGGTGCCCCGTTGTTCTTCGCGGCGTCGGGTGTCGCAGGCGCCCCAGTCGGCGATTTGGAAGTGTTAGCGACCGCTATCGCTGCTGACGTCTCAGGCCCCCCCTGTCTTCCGACGGACTGGGCAGGCCGGCTGCCTTCATGATGGGCCCTGTCGGACGCTGGGTTCCCCGATGGGGGTACGGAACACAGCTCCCCCAATAGTGGCTGGTCGGTACCCTTTCAGATCCCATTTCGATTCGGTCCGTCTGGTTCGATACAGATTACGCCAGATATGGATCGATTCTGGTTTTCCGACGACTCGATGCGGCTCGCATGGACGTGTTGTGTTGGCGCGGCGGACTCGACTCTATTTCGACTCCGCGCCGATGCGGCCCGATCCCACCCTCATCCCCATTCGATCGGAGTTCTGGCTTCAATGCTGACCGGTCCAGTCCGTCCTCCTCCTCCTCGTCCTCCTCCTCCTTGTGCCCATTTTTCTGTGTTCCTCCTCGTTGTTAGCCACAGGGTTTGCCTGGGCCTCGCGCCTGGCATTCGACCAAGCCGTGGTCTAGCAGAGGCGCCCTTCCCCCGCCCACCAGAGAGAGGGAAGTGCTGCCCAGGGTGCGTGCGCGGAGTGGTGCAGTGGCGAGCTGTGCCGTGGGGGCGCTTTTGGCATCCGTCTCCCACGCCTGCCCCTTGGAGGCGATGACGATGACGATGACCACGACCATGACGATGACGAGCGTCATCGTCATCGTCGTCGTTGTCGAGGAGTGGCGATTGTGTGGCTCACGACCGTGCGATTGTCTGGGAAGCGCAGCCGCGACTCAGCTTCTGTGTCCGATTCGCTCGGCTGCGAGTGCCTTGGCGCAAACGTGGTTGCAGAGCGACAGACGCGACGGAACGTGGGTGCTTGGGAGGATCGATACTGGGTTCTGCCAAGGACTTCTGCGCGCTCCTCTGCAGCAGTCACTGTCAGCGGGAGTACCAGCGCAAACCATGTCTCGTTTGTTGAAGGGGGCAACTGATGTCTCGCCTGAGCAGACTGGCCATTGGCGGGGGTGAGAGATTCAGCCTGACGAGGGAGGGTGCGAGTGAGAGTCAAGTTCCCAACAGGAACGCCACATGCCGTCTCGCTCTCTTCTATCCGCCCTCCCACCACACAGACAGCACCCACGATTCAGCGTGCTTAGCAGCGGTGGTCGCCATCTGATGGACAGCCGTCGGGAGCCAACGTAAAAGCGACGTGCGCAACGCTCGCGAGGTGCGATATACATGCCAGGTCCGCCACACGCACCAGACGCGTCAGGCGCCACAGGCGCGCCAGGCGCAACTGGCGCGCCTGATGCGTCGCGTTTGCTCGTATGTCACGTGCGCCAAGTGTGCCTGCCGCATGCTTCAGGCACGCCAGGTGCGCCGCGTGCGCAACCCGTGCATAGTGCGAGAGTGGCCCCACTGCAGATGCCACTGCACATTGGGAAGAAATGTGTCGACACCCCACCAAGCGTCAACGATCAACTCTGCGGAGCAGCGGGTTGGCGTGGTGACGTGTGAACCCGCGGTCACTCTGCATTGCTTTCGACTGAAATGGCGGGCCGCCGCGCAGCGGAACATGACCCGTAAGAGCACCCTATCTGTTGTTGGCGGTCACTCGGTGTACTCGTCTTCGTGTCCAGGGCAGATGGCGACGAGGAGGACGAGGAGGATCGGGGTGGCGAGGTTCGTTATCGTGCCCAAGGCAAGTGCCGACGAGGAGAACGAGGAGGAGGAGGACGAGGAAGACGGAGAGGAGGAGGAGGAGGACGAGGAGGAGGACGAGGAGCAGGAGGAGGACGATGGGGACGACGAGGAGGAGGCAGACGTCGACGACGCCGAGGGGCAGGGCGCCGGCCGCGCACGCTGGTGGCCGCTGGGAGGGCCGGCGGCGGGCCGCGGGCGGGCACGCTAAGCAGTGAGCATCCTGGCGTGCAGGCGCGGAGCGAGGGACCGGCCACGCGCAGAGGGGGGCGGGGGGAGGGGGGATCGGGGGCGGCCAAGAGGAGGGCGGTGACTAGAGGGGGGGGGGATCTCATGGCGTGGGCCATGTTTCCTCAGGTTTCTCTCCGGTCCCCCCCTGGGCCGCGCACGTGCCGCCAGCCATGATTTGCGCCCCCCCCCCCCCCCTCTTTGACGCCCCCCTCTTGGCCGCCCCGCGGGCAAGGCTCCTTAGAAGCACCTCTGCTTCTAAGAAGCCTTCCCCTCTCCCCCATGCCCCCTTGTGCGCGCCGCCAAAAGGGCCATCGGGCTTAGGAGGGGCAGGCAGCATGCCGGAAATGCCTGGCACCAGCGGCAGCCCCCCAGCACAGAGCACGCCTTCGCTCGTTCGTGTCAAGCCGTGCCCCGTGAACAGGCGCTCTGGTTGCAGGAGGGGCAAGCAACACGCTCAGGGGAACGAGGAATAACATAAACATATCAACTCGGAGGTCCGCGCGGATTTCTCGGATCCGCACTGGGCGCCCCCGCGGCGGCGCCTCCAGCGCCGCCCCTGGCGCGCTCCGCGCGCCAGGGAGGGGGGTCCAGCGCCGATCCGAGAAGTCCGCGCGGACCTCCTATCTTCTATGCTTGTACCATTCGTCGTTCCCCTAGCCTGGCGCCAGCGGCAGCCTCCAAGCACAGAGCACGCCTTCGCTCGTGACCGTCAGGCCGCACCCCCGGGGTGCAGGCGCTCTGGTCGCAGCGCACCGTGTGCCCCTCGACAGCTCGGCAACACCGCAGGGTCGTCAACACCAAAGGGTCGGATGCAGGCAGGTCAGGGCGCTGAGAAGATGTGGGCCACTTCGGGCTCGGGAGGGGCTCTGGTTGTCGGGCCGTTCCATGAGGCTCGCCGTGGCCAGTGGCGTCTGTTTGTTCCTCCTTCGCCGTTCCTGCTGTAGCGCGTCGGCTGGGCTTCCTGGCAAGCACTGCTGGCAACGCGATGGCTGCTGGGGCACGCTGCAAGCGAGCTTCGTGGCAGGCGCCTTGGCGACGGCGCTGGCGACGTGTTGTGCGCCGGAAGCGAGCTGGCACGCTTGGAGTGAGCTTCCTCGCGGTGGCAGCAGCGCTGGCCAGGCAGCATGCCGTGCCCGAGAGCGGGCACGCGCTGGGGCGTTTCCTGGCGGCTGCGCCAGTCGCACGATGTGCGCCGCAAGCGAGCGGGCACGCACGGGAGGCCCACGGGAGGCCAACGGGAGGGGCGCGGGAGGGACACCGCCCCCCCCTTGTGGTTTGCGAGTGGCGGAAGCAAGCAGCAACAACCCTCTGGAGAGGGGGGGGGGGGGGGAGACATCCCCTCCCCCGAGGCCCCTGCCGACTGCACCACTCCTGAGGGGTGCCCGCGCAGGGTCCTTTTGAATGTTGCGGCGTGAGCCTGTTGATGTTTTGGCGGGGAGGATGTCGGCGGGTGCAGGCCCTGGTCGGAAGGCCACTCGTGCGGGAGGGGGGTCGTGTCTCTTCTGCTAAGACGGAGCGGTGAGGGGAGGGGAGAATATCGGGTATAGCTAGGACCCCAGTTAAGGGCAGCTGGTTCGTGATTGGGCCCCGAAGCCCAACATATGGATTGGAATCTCTGAACCAGGTTTGCCGTGGCTGGTGCTTTTCGGGTGACGGCAGTTCTGGTTAGTGGAACGGGGCGGGGGGGGGCGTCCCCCAGTACACATCACTAAACCAGGTCTCACTAAGCCCAGTTCTGCAAACGCCCGAAAATAGCGGAACGAACAATGACATAAACATACAAACTCGGAGGTCCGCGTGGATTTCTCGGATCGGCGCTGGAACCCCCTGGCGGCGCCTCGGGCGCCGCTCCTGTCGCGCTCCGCGCGCCAGGGAGGGGGTCCAGCGCCGATCCGAGAAATCCGGGAGGACCCCCGAGTGTTTGTGTTTGTGCTAGTTTTCGTTCCCCCAGAGAAGGGGAAGGAGGGGGAGGCGGGGAGGAGCATGTTGACGGAGACGAGCAGGAGATAGGAAAATTACCTTGTGACGTACCCAACCCATTTGTATCAATGGAAACGAGGAGTTGGCCGAAACTTGCTTGGACAATCGACTTGATGTGTAAGCTACTTGGGACACGCGCCTATGGCATGATGCGCAGGAGAACCATACAAGAACGAGGGGCGACAGCCACAGGCTCGAAGAGGACATGGGGAGTCGGGAACGCAGAGCAGGAGAACAACGTGCGGGAAGCCGAACCATCAGTACGGCAGCCGCAGAGGGAAGGTGACTGCAGGAGGAGAACAAGGACGAAAGCGGCGTATACTTTGAGTCTGCGGTGGGTACCCCCTGTGCTGTGCCCCTCGGCAGCTCTCGAAAGTGGCGACAGTTTCACAGATCGCGGCCCCCCAGGGATGGCGAGGTCTAGTTTGAGTCTGCGGTGGGTACCCACTGTGCTGTGCCCCTCAGCAGCCCTCGAATACCCACTGTGCTGGGCCCCCCAGCAGGCCTCGCAAGTGGCGACAGTTTCACAGATCGCAGCCCCCCAAGGATGGCGAGGTCTAATTTGAGTCTGCGGTGGGTACCCACTGTGCTGGGCCCCCCCAGCAGGCCTCGAAAGTGGCCACCGTTTCACAGATCGCAGCCCCCCAGGGATGGCGAGGTCGAATTTGAGTCTGCGGTGGGTACCCAGTGTGCTGGGCCCCCCCAGCAGGCATCGAAAGTGGCGACAGTTTCACAGATCGCAGCCCCCCAGGGATGGCGAGGTCTAATTTGAGTCTGCGGTGGGTATCCACTGTGCTGGGCCCCCCCAGCAGGCCTCGAAACTGGCGACAGTTTCACAGATCGCATCCCCCCAGGGATGGCGATGTCTAATTTGAGTCGGCGGTGTGTACCCACTGTGCTGGGCCCCTCAGCAGCCCTCGAAGAGGGCGACAATTTCACAGATCGCAGCCCCCCAGGGATGGCGAGGTTTAGTTTGAATCTGCGGTGGGTACGCACTGTGCTGGCCCCCCCAGCAGGCCTCGAAAGTGGCGACAGTTTCACAGATCGCAGCCCCCCAGGAATGGCGAGGTCTAGTTTGAATCTGCTGTGTGTACCCACTGTGCTGGGCCCCCCCAGCAAACCTCGAAAATGGCGACAGTTTCACAGATCTCACCCCCCCATGGATGGCGAGGCCGAATTTGAGTCTGCCGTGTGTACCCACTGTGCTGGGCCCCCCAGCAGGCCTCGAAAGTGGCGACATTTACATTTTCGCAGATCGCAGCCCCCCAGGGATGGCGAGGTCTAGTTTGAATCTGCGGTGTGTACCCACTGTGCTGGCCCCCCAGCAGGCCTCGAGAGTGGCGACAATTTCACAGATCGCAGCCCCCCAGGGATGGCGAGGTCTAGTTTGAATCTGCCGTGTGTGCCCACTGTGCTGGGCCCCCCAGCAGGCCTCGAAAGTGGCGACAGTTTCACAGATCATAGCCCCCCCAGGGATGGCGAGGTCTAATTTGAATCTGCGGTGTGTACCCACTGTGATGGGCCCCCCAGCAGGCTTCGAAAGTGGCGACAGCTTCACAGATCGCAGCCCCCCAGGGATGGCGAGGTCGAATTTGAGTTTGCGGTGTGTGCCCACTGCGCTGGGCCCCCCAGCAGGCCTCGAAAGTGACGATAGTTTCACAGATCGCATCCCCCCAGGGATGGCGAGGTCCAATTTGAATTTGCGGTGTGTACCCACTGTGCTGGGCCCCCCCCCAGCAGGCATCGAAAGTGGCTACCGTTTCACAGATCGCAGCCCCCACCCAGGGATGGCGAGGTCTAATTTGAATCTGCCCGTGGCGTCACTGTGCCGGGCCCCCCAGCAGGCCTCGAAAGTGGCGACAGTTTCACAGATCGCAGCCCCCCAAGGGATGGCGAGGTCTAATTTGGGTCTGCGCGTCGCCTCACTGTGCTGGGCCCCCCAGCAGGCCTCGAAAGTTGCGACAGCTTCACAGATCGCAGCCCCCAAGGGATGGCGAGGTCTAATTTGGGTCCGCCCGTCGCCCTCAATGTGCAGGGCCCCCCATCAGGCCTCGAAAGTGGCGACGGTTTCACAGATCGCAGCCCCCCAGGGATGGCGAGGTCTAATTTGGGTCCGCCCGTCGCCCTCACTGTGCTGGGCCCCCCAGCAGGCCTCGAAAGTGGCGACAGTTTCACAGATCGCAGCCCCCCAGGGATGGCGAGGTCTAATTTGGGTCCGCCCGTCGCCCTCACTGTGCTGGGCCCCCCAGCAGGCCTCGAAAGTGGCGACAGTTTCACAGATCGCAGCCCCCCAGGGATGGCGAGGTCTAATTTGAATCCGCGCGTGGCCCTCACTGTGCTGGGCCCCCCAGCAGGCCTCGAAAGTGGCGACAGTTTCACAGATCGCAGCCCCCCAGGGGATGGCGAGGTCTAATTTGAATCTGCCCGTGGCCCTCACTGTGCTGGGCCCCCCAGCAGGCCTCGAAAATGGCGACAGTTTCACAGATCGCAGCCCCCCAGGGATGGCGAGGTCTAATTTGAATCTGCGCGTCGCCCTCACTGTGCTGAGCCCCCCAGCAGGCCTCGAAAATGGCGACAGTTTCACAGATCGCAGCCCCCCCAGGGATGGCGAGGTCTAATTTGAATCTGCGCGTCGCCCTCACTGTGCTGGGCCCCCCAGCAGGCCTCGAAAATGGCGGCAGTTTCACAGATCGCAACCCCCCCAGGGATGGCGAGGTCTAATTTGAATCTGCGCGTCGCCCTCACTTTGCTGGGCCCCCCAGCAGGCCTGGCCTCGAAAATGGCGACGGTTTCACAGATCGCAACCCCCCCAGGGATGGCGAGGTCTAATTTGAATCTGTGCGTCGCCCTCACTGTGCTGGGCCCCCCCAGCAGGCCTCGAAAATGGCGACAGCTTCACAGATCGCAGCCCCCCAGGGATGGCGAGGTCTAATTTGAATCTGCGCGTCGCCCTCACTGTGCTAGGCCCCCCAGCAGGCCTCGAACATGGCGACAGTTTCACAGATCGCAGCCCCCCCAGGGATGGCGAGGTCTAATTTGAATCTGTGCGTCGCCCTCACTGTGCTGGGCCCCCCAGCAGGCCTCGAAAATGGCGGCAGTTTCACAGATCGCAACCCCCCCAGGGATGGCGAGGTCTAATTTGAATCTGCGCGTCGCCCTCACTTTGCTGGGCCCCCCAGCACGCTTCGAAAATGGCGGCAGTTTCACAGATCGCAGCCCCCCGCAGGCAAGACAGGAAGAGGCAGGGAGGGAGGGAGGAGGAAGGAAGGAAGGAGTGGAGACCACACTGCTCTATTCAAAACGAATGCCCAACCAAGGAGGGTTGGGAAAAACAGGGTGGACAAAAAACAGGGTGGACGAGCAGGACGAGGACGAGAGGGGGCGGCGGAGGGCTGCGAGCACGTGGGGCGACGGGGGAGAAAAGGCGAGGGGGATACGGTTTCTTGGGTTTCGATGGTTTTGCTATGGGAAGCGTGACGCTCCCACACCAGAAGCCGATGGACGTCCTGGGGTCTCATGACTGGGCTTCTCGTGGAAGGTTTCTGGTGGACGGGCCCCTACTGTACGGAGGGCGTTGGGGAGAGATAGCACCGGGGAGGGAGAACAGGAGTGTGCGCGGTTCGGTCGGTGCGGTGGGTACGCGGCGGGGGCCACATGCGAACCCTACCCCTACCCGGCCTACCCCCCACGATTTCTGAGGGGAAGGGCGGGGTTCACTTCGTTCAGGAGCTCCCGAGCGAAGTGAACGCCACCCTCCCCGTCAGAAATCGTGGGGGGTAGGGGTAGGGTTCGCATGTGGTCCCCTACGCGGTCGGCTGCGTTCAGTTGGTCAGTCGGCTGCTGCGCCGCTGCTTCTTTTCTCGGCTGCTTTCGGTCGATCGGTTTCGGTCGGTTTCGGTTGCGCTGTCGGTTCGATCGGTTTTCGATGTTGGCGTCGCCGTGAGAGTGTAAGTGGAGAGGGAGGGTTGGGAGGGAAGCAACGGGAGATCGTGGAGATTGAGAGCGACGAGGGAGGGAGAAGGACAGGGGGAGAGGGAGTGGAGTGGAGCGTGAAGGGGGCTGGGAAGGGGCAGGGGGTGGCGACGTCGGGGAGACGCGTGATTGGGGAGAGGCAGGGAATGTGGGAACGGGAGGGCTGATGGGGGAGTGGGGAGCGCGGAGGGGCAACCTTGGGGAGACGCACAGAGGGAGGATAATGAGGGCGGGGAGGAGGAGGCGGAGGAGGAGGAGGAGCAGCAGCAGGAGGAGCAGGAGGGGTTGGACGAGGATGGGATAGGGGTTGCCCGCTGGTGTCTGCAGCCGGGACACCTGCAGAGGAGTTCGTCGCCCGCTCCTTCAGCAGCATACCGGACGCCAGGCCAGCGCTCGGCCTCGACGGCGAGCTGCCGGTCGACGTCGACGAGGCGACCTGCGCAGACCTCCGCTTCGATCCTCGTCGAGATCGACTACGGGCCAGCCCGATCCGATTCGATTCGACACCGACGTGCCGACGAATCGATGCGGCCCGATTCTTGCTCGGCGCTGCCGTGCATCCTGGACGTGGCCGAGTCGATTCGGTGCCGACGCCGTGCCGCTGCGGCCCCATACGCTGCCCGGGCCGAGCCGATCCGATGGATCGGCTCGATGCGGATCGCACCCGCCCGCGTGGGGCGTGCGCCTCGGGTCTCGGGTGTCTGTTCCGCCTCGGCCCGACGGCAGCGCGCGCGCGCGCGGGAGGCCAGGACTGAGCGCACCCGGCAGCCTCGGGGGCACCCGGCCTCGGAGCCTGCTCGAGGCGGAGGGGTTCGCGGAGGCGACGGGAGCCAGGGGCCCGCGCCGTCGGGTGCAGAGAGGTGCCGTTCCCAGGAGCCGATGGGGCCGAGAGCCATCGGAGGCGCCTCCGGCGAATCAATGCCGTCCCCCTTGCAACGGCACCGCAACATGTATTTATCAACGGGTTCGGGGGTGGACAGACCTCCTACCCTGACACGTCGATTAGTGAATTGTTCGTTTTCGGTTTTCGAGAGGGCGTCGCGGCCGTTATTTTTGCGGGTCCAGGTCCGTCGGTTTCGGTCCCGGGTCGCTTTCATTAAAGGGAGGTTTACTAAAGGGAGGTTTGTCCACCGCCGATGGGTACCTCGAAATTTTG